CATAATACAATTTCGAAAGAGATTAATGAAAATTTTGTAAAAACAACAAATGAAAATTATATCAGTTTTTCTAAATTCATTACATATAAATGTATGTATTTAGAAAACGTTTACATTGCATCTCTTTTTTGATGTCTGTAAATATAATTTTTAAGTAACTTGATTTAAATAACACTTTTGTTTTAAAACAATTGAAGAAAGTTGATGATTTATAAAAATTCTCATTTTATTTTGAATATAAAAAAAAAGACTGAAACACATAAGATTTTCTTTGTTTATTGATTGAAGCAAGATTTAATTAATCGAAACTAAATGCAATTAAAGTTGCATATGTTTAATAAATTAGTTCTTAAATAAAAAAAACTAATCTGTGTTTAATTTACTAAAAAATACGATTAAAAGAAAAAAAACAACAATAAGATTTTGTTCGTTTCTGAAAAATTTATATTATGTGACATTTCTTTAATCGAATTGTTGTGTAATTAAAGTTGCAGATGTCAAAATGTGATAGTTGTTACTATAAACAAAACAAAGAACAAAAGATATTTGAGTCATGGAAACTTGATTAATTTGCAGATTTTAAATTGATGTTTTCACTGCGAAATTGCGATTGAATTATGAAACCGAAATAATAAAAAAAGAACTTATGGAAGAATGATGCTTGAATGATGCAAAACATGATCATCTAAATCCAACTTCTTCGGTTACTTCTTTCATTTTCCATTTGTTTATCATTAAGTGTTACTTTTTTTTTTGGTTACGTTTCTCTTGTAAATAATGGGTAATTGTAAAAACAAATGCTGCGTGCTGGGGATGGTGGCCTGCTTGTATTATATAAATATTTTCGAGTTCCTGCGTGGAGGAGTATCACGAGCGGAGCGAGAGATGCGGACGGGAGAGCGCGCGGGTTTTCCCGGCGGGACGGAAATAGTCCACTCCTAGTTTAGACCGAAACGACAACGACGCCGACGCCTGAAAAAATCCTGGGCTCTGCTGAAACGGCCGGACGTGGGCGTATCAGAATCGCATACAAATAAAGAAACTTATCCCGATAGAGAGAGAGAAAAAAACAACTGTTAAAGTCTTGTAATTGATTCCTTTTACGAAGATCCAGATTTGAATGGATCTTCGTCAATTTCTTAATGAAACATCTTCTCCTCTGCGTTTGGCCGCGTTTCAAACGACCGAAATAGACGCGTTTTGACGCTTTCCACGTTTTCCGTTCCGCCCGTTTTATTACGCACAGTTCAATATTCTTTCGCAAAACCCTATTTTTAGCCAACTGCAATTACTTCAATTTAAACACACTCAAACATAATATTTAATTTAAATAGTTTCATTACTAATCTACATTTAAATTTAACAAAAAAAAAACTAAAATTATTCTACAAAATCCAATTTTTTTGACAAAAGTTACTTGAAATTAATTTATTAAATAAAAATTTTATAAAAAAAAGTTATTTCATTATCTAAAATTGTATAAAAATTCAATTAGTTGCAGATTCTTAATACGAATTTGTGGAAATATTGAAATAAATTCGGTTAAGAATGTAGCTTTTTCGCAATTTTATCGCTCTGAAGAAACACACATATAATACATACAAAATGTTTCTACTACTGAATTTCTTGGCCGTCTGTCAACTTTATTATGTTCATGATTTTTCTGGGAGTGCAATTCAATACGGGTCCAGGCTTTTAAATCCCGTTACGTAAGTGAAGTAGTGGGCAACAGAAAACGAAGATGTAGTGAAAATTTATATAAATATATATCGCGTTGGCGGGCGCAGGAATTTTGTTTACGTTTATGCAACAAACCGTACAACTTTTTTTTACACACACGCACACGAAAATAATCCTTCTGGGATACGTTTTCTTTATATATATAATTTGCAGATTTCATTTCTCCGAAGATTATTATTACTTGAAAATCTGTAGTTTTCAACTATTTTACGCTGTCAAGTTTTGACAGTTTATTATAATTTCAAGTATTTGATCAATGTATCAAATTGGTTAAATTATCATTATTTTCAAAATAAAGTTAACTTTTAGGTCAAAAGTCAATTTTTTTGTAATTTTATGTGTTCGAAAATGCTACTAATATAGAAAGTATATTACGAAATTTAAGTATTTTTTGAATTTCTTGGAAAATGACAGCTGTCAAGTTGACGTTTAAAAAATATATAAGTCAAATTATAGGATCGAGTGTTTTAGGACAATTATGAGAACTGTCAAATTGACGTTTACAAAAAATGACAAATTGTAATGAAATTTCGGACTAAAATAATTGAAAATTAACTCGTATTGATTAAAAAAACGTAAATCAATTGATTATGATTAATATAAAGTTGCAATTTGATAGGTGTGCAGGAAAATTTATAGATTCGTAAGTGGAAAAATTAGATCGTGCCCTGTTTTTAAAGACAATAGCTTAATCTAAGAATAAATCGACGTTGCTGAGTAGATCACGTATAAATATAAAGAAGTCAAGGCTATATCTCTGTTCAAGTGACCCGAGTCCGAAACTGTTTTAAGTGGATCATCATCTGCACTCCTATAACGGACACGAATAATCGAAGCATGATGCAAAAAAAATACTAATAGAGTCTTTAAATACATCAAGAAAACTAATTATAAGTTAACTTCAATTGAATAGCTTAATTATTTGATCAAAAAAGTTGACAACTTTTCAATTTTGACTTTATTTTGTTGACAGTTGATTTGATTAATAAATTTAACCTTAAATAATTGACGTTTATGTTAAATGATGAATTATAGTATTTTACATTGTCAAATTTGTTCTTTACATGCATATAAGTATGTACAAGAAATGTTTGGATTCGTATTCGATTACGTCCTTAATCAAAGTCTATTTTGGAAGGTATTTTTAGACAAGATATATTTATATAAAACGGAAATCGTTCGAATCGTCGGCCGCAACTATTTTTGAAATGCAACGAGTTTACCCAGAAAAGGCGAGCGCAAAATCTAAATCCCCGACAATTAACTTAAAGAGTAGTCGAGTTTCAATTGCATGAAAGTAATGTGTCAATGTTTACTTGCCGTGCTTAAATTGATTTGCAATTAATACAGTTGGTACCGAGTGACAGGTGACAGTTAATAAGTTAATTTTTTTTTCGCTCATTAGGTTGGTAATGGAATTCGAAGTATTTGGGTCATTTATTAATAAAATTTTGCGCATCCCACTTTGTTTTGACGTTCCGACAGTTTGACGCAACGAATTTAAAGAAGAAACTAATTATAACACGAATTGCACTTTTAAATGGTGGAAATAAAAAACTTTTTATAAAGAAGTTGATGAAAACTAAAAAAAAAAATTGTATAAGGGAAGATACGATATGTTTTTGTTACCTCTGTAAAATTAGATCAAGAAGCCTGGTCTTGGCTGCGCGTTCACTGTTGTAACGCGATAGCGTTTTATATTTATAAACCGTTTCACAATTTCTATCCGCTATTCTATTTAAAGCCGAAAGATTTTCTGGTTCGGGTTTGTTTCTCTTAAGAATTTTCAATTATTTTTTTCTTAATTTGTATCAACCCGAACTGGAAATCCTTTGTTATCATGCGTTAATTGTTACTGTTGCTGTTAGTTACTTTGCCTTGTTTTGTTTTGATGAGGTTCGAAGAGGACGCGATTGAGAGATGAAGAAAAAAAAACTTAAGTCTCCTCTTCTGGTTTGAGTGAAAGTCTCTTTGGAGGTTTTTTTAGAGGATGAGTTCGAACACACACACACGCACCTACCTGTGGCCGTTGGCGATCAGGAGCTGCTGCTATCCTCTCAGCTACAGGCGTCGCGACGCTTCCAGAGCCCCCTTGTCCCCCTTCTAGCTAACGTATTCCCCTTATCCCCACTATCTCGAAACATAATTAAAAATAATTCTGGCGCTTCCAAAACGGTTTTCTACTACAGAACTCATCCAGGCGACCGACCGTTCTTCCCACGTACAACATTTCACAAAAACAAACATCAATTTCAACATATTTATAGTTGACTTGGACTTTCTTTGAACACTGAATCAATTGCGTTTTAACTACATATATAATTAGTAATTATCAATCAAAAATAACGTTGATTTTAATACTTTATTAGACATTATGTCCCACGTTGGTCACCATTTTTTTCAAAACATAATTATTTTCTATACTTTTGATTTTATATAGTTATATTCAAGCAAATAAAATAATGAAAGTAACTTGTCAATTACTTGTACAAGTACTTGTAACATATACAGTAATATGTAAGCAATACTTGCAAAGTATTGTTTCAAAGTAAATATAATTTGTAGCAAATTATTAACTTTTTTAACTTGTACAAATACAAGTACTTGCAGGAACATTTTGTACTTGTCAAGTGAAAAGAAAAATCGTACTTTTTTAACTTGTACAAATACAAGTACTTGTAGGAACATTTTGTACTTATCAAGTGAAAAGAAAAGTTGTACTTTTTTAACTTATACAAATACAAGAACTTGTAGGAACATTTCGTACTTGTCAAGTGAAAAGAAAAGTTGTACTTTTTTACAAATACACGTACTTGTAGGAACATTTTATCACTTGTAAAGTGAAAATAAAAGTTGTACTTTTTTAACTTGTACAAATACAAGTACTTGTAGGAACATTTTGTACTTGTTAAGTGAAAAGAAAAGTTGTACTTTTTTACAAATACAAGTACTTGTAGGAACATTTTATCACTTGTCAAATGAAAATAAAAGTTGTACTTTTTTAACTTGTACAAATACAAGTACTTGTAGGAACATTTTGTACCTGTCTATTAACTATTAAAACGAATATTATTCAAAGTAAATACCAAAAGTTTAAATTTTACAATCAATCTTATTAATTATAGAAATATGTAATTTTCTTTATTAGTTGTGAAGATGAAAACTAACTTCTTATATAAGTTTGGAAATCGTGACTTTTATATAAATATTAAAAAATCTAAACGTAACTTCTTACATTAGTATTGAAAACTGTTAACTTAACATTTTAAAGAAATTTTGAAGACTAAAAACGTGACTTCTTAGATAAGTTTTAATTTTTTAAAGAAAATACTTAATTTTTTTATATAACTTTGGAACATTACAGAAAATTTTTAAAAACGTAATTTCTTATGTAATGTAATGTATTCATAGTAACAAATACAAAAAATAGAATAATTTCTAGTTATTTCAATAAAAAATCTTTGCTTTTACAAATAGGAAGTGTACAAAAACTAATGTGTCTGTGAGAGTTTAAGTACGTGACTTTGGAGTAAATCGCTTAATTGATGTTCACTTCAAGCTTTTACGGTCACTCCGCACTCGTCAAAACGGTAATAAAACCTTAAAGTTTAAGTATAGTCACAGAAAAAAACCATTCAATTTAATGACAAAATGAATCACAAATTGGGTGGTATTTAAAGTAACGATTATAAACTTTGAAATTTCCATCACAAAACTGTAACGGTAAGTCAATTTCAACTGAATAGGATTTATGCAATCACGTAAAAGTGTAATAATTTAATTGCAATAATAATAATAAAAAAAAGCGAAAGCAAAAGCGATCGACGACATTGAAAACATGCGGCGACCCAGTAACCAAGATGCGAAACACCAACGCAAATGCGTCTTGTCTGCATCAAAACCACCCCCAAATCTCAGATTTGCACCAAAACTTTGCGCAATTTTGAATTGTAGACGCGTTAACTATTGAGGTGTGGTGAAATTTTTGTCAAAAATGCGTCGGATTGAGGGAAACGACGATTTTCTTCCATATATGGTAAATTAATTTCGGTTGAACTGATTTCGGAATGATTGAAACGTGCGCACGGCTGTGCTGCTGCACTCTCCTGGATGAATCATCCATCTCGATGATGTTGTGCATCCATCCTGCACGGGTTTCGTCGCTCTCTTACATATATAAGTATAAGAAAAAAAGTCCCATAATGGAACAAATAACCCGTTTGTTGTCTCTCCACCGTGCACTTACTTATGTGTAAAGAATTCGCCTTCCCCGGCATACCGATGAACGAACGAAAGAAATATCCGTGCTGCTCTTTATTATTTTTATTTTATTCATTTCTGTGGCCTTAATACAACTCTTTAACGTCTTCAACAACTTCTGTTCAACAATTTGAAGATACTTTCATACATTTTGTACTATAAAATACAACAGTTAATTCATTTATTTTTTAGTAATATTTTGATCAAGTTTGCAATGAGAAAATTGTTTTGTCAATGTCACATCCATCACAACATTGTGATGGATTTACGAATCTGGAAAGATCACGTATAAAAGAAATGGATAAAACCTTAAGTTTTCTTTAAAAAATCAACTTTTATATAATATTATTTAATTTTCAAGTTTTCATTAAGATTAATTAAAAATTATGTTACTAAAAGAAAATCTGTTGGTAATAGAATTATTTTTTTTAGTAATATTAGGATCACGTCTGCTTTGAAAAAAAATTGTCAACTGTCAACGTCAAATTTGTTTTTGTGAATTTACGAATTCGAAGATTTTACGTGCAAAAGAAGTTTAAATTTAAGTTTATGGAAATTATACTTGTTGTTACATTTATTTAAAATTTTGTTATTTAAAAAAATACTGTTGGTATTAATTACAATTACGTACAAATTATTTTTTTTAGTAATATTTTTATCAACGTCAACGTGATGATATTTTGTGATGAATTCACGAAAATTTGAAGATTTTAAGTGCAAAAGAAGTGGAAAAAGCTTAAGTTTTTGGAAATTATACTTATTGTTACGTGAATAAATGTAAGTGTGAAAGAAAATCAAACTTTTCATATAATATTGTTTTCATTTTTAAATTTTGTATTAAGATTAACCTAAAATTATGTTATTGAAAGAATACACTGTTGGTAATGGAATTACGTAATCATTCTTTTCTTTTTAGTAATATTTGGATCACGTCTGCATTGAAAAAAATAAATGTTGTGTCAACGTCAACGTTAAATATTTTGTGATGAATTCTTAATGAATAATGTAATTTCAATTGGATTTTAGTTTTTTAATGTGAAGAATAGCCGAATTGTAGGTTGGAATATAAAAATTATGAAGTAAAATTATGAAAAATCATTGGTTTTTCACAGGAATGGTTTGGTTTGAACAGGAAGAAAAAAAAAGAAAAATGAAATTAATGAAGGTAGATATAAAAAAAATAGTTAAAGAAAATCATATTTTAATTTTTTTATATTTCTTAAGTTTACATGTAAAAGAAATGGAGAAAGCTGAAAAATAGTTGTTGTTACATGAATACTTGTAAGTATATAAGTAAAACAAAATATTAATAAATCATGTAATTTCAATTTGATTTTAGTTATATAATTATGAAGAATAGCTGAATTGTAGGTTGGAACATAAAAATTATGATGTAAAATCATTGGTTTTTCCGTAATTTATCATGAACAAGAAGATAAAGAAAGAAAAAAATGAAATTAGTGAAGGTTTTACTATATTTCAACAGTTTACGTGTGAAAGAAGTGGAGAAAGCTGAAAATACTTGTTGTTACATGAATACTTGTAAGTATATAAATAAAATAAAATGTTAATGAA